CGCAGATCAACGTCATTTTCTACTGTTCATGTAATAACAAAATCCAACTTACTTCCGGTGTTAAATTATCTCGCCAATATTATCCTTTGTTTACCAATCCAACTTACTTCCACTGTTAAATTATCTCAGATAATCCTTTCTTCACCGATTGAACTGAAGTTCCAGAGAGAAATGAAGAACTTGCACTGCTCATTTACTGCCAGGAGAAGAAGGGATGATGAGTCCCTGGTTGCTGCTGGTGCTGCTGCGCCGCAATGATTGGCGCATTGAATTTTCAGCAGCTCTGGCTTCTCGATCTGTCGCTGTGCGTGTTTGGTGAAGAGCAAATTGGCAACTGGGTTTAGTTTACTCTGGTTTCCCGTTTCCTTAAAGTAAAAGCTAGTGGATGGACGCTAGCTAGCTCTGCTCATGCAAGGACCCAACGCCGGAACAGACCACTGGCTGCATCTGCTCCATTTGTTTATTTTTCCCCACTTCTGCGATGCGTGCCATAAAAAAATCCTTCCCTGCACATGCTCGTGTCTGCGCCCGGACGTCATGCGTGCTTCCGCTTCCGCGCCCGGAAATCCAATCCTGGAAAGTTAATTTCATTTCTAGCTGCTTGTGGAACAGCCGGTGGTCAGTCGATATTATAAGAAGTTGTTGATTAACGCGTTTGGGAAGAGAAAAACATGAAAGGGGCATCCTGAGTGTGCTTACTTGGTTGACAAATTTAGGGTATCTTCAAGGCAAGAGAAAGGAGCGTAAGGGCAACTCCAACTCCGGTCCATGTCTGTTCGTTTGGGCCCAAACGAACAGACGACACGGCCCAGCGCCCGACCATGTCCGTATTTTTTTGTCTGTTTGACATCTGGCCTACCCCATTTCCGACGTAAAACTGTGTCCGGTTAGCGTTCACACGGATGTTGAACGGACGCCCACGCGCCCGCTCCGTGCCTACCTCGGGCCTGCGTGGCAGCCGCCCACCTACTTCTCACCGTTTACGGCACACGCGTGGGCGACCCCACCTGGCAGCCACCCAACTACCCGTCGTCGTCCTTTTTAATGTGGAAGTCATGGACCGGCCAGTCCACATGCTTCCACTTCCATCTAGGCGTGCCTCCTCGAGCCCCGACATGCAAACCCTAGCCCCCCCAAGCTCTTCCACCTTCCCTCGTCGATGGCAATGGTTGGCCGCTGGTTCCCCGGCCGCAGGACGAGGCACGACCACGAGGTCGGGTCGTCATTCGGCCACCGTCACAGCTCCACCCCTCCACCACCGCCTCCCGCAGCATTCCACATAGCGCCGGCGGCGGCCGCATCGCGGATGCAGATGTACGTCAAGGCGGACATCTACAAGCGCTATTGGGAGACGGGCACGCTGCTCCCGTGGGACGACGTGCACCTCCCCAATAATTGGCACCTCTCCGCGGATCGGGTGCCCATTCCACCGATCTCGGTGCCGTCGATTCCCTGTTGTGGGATACTTGGCTGCGCGACAAGCACGATCTACGCCAGCAATCTTATTTTGTCGGTCGTGCTCCGAGCCCGCCACGCTCGCGCTCCCAGCCCGCCCCAGCCACGCGGGCGTAGGCTGGTTCGCGGCCTGACGCCAACCCCTTCGTCGTCGCCGTCCCCACCACCGCTCGCTCCAATGACCACCGACGAGGAGGAGGCGCTGATGAGGCTGGTGATGGAGGACTCCCTCCACACCCACAACGAGCGCAAATGGCAGGCTTAGAGGAGATAATGACCTTGTTAGCGGTAGGCGACTTCGCCTTCCCGGAGCTGGACGCCTATGTCAAGGAGGAGGCCATGAAGGATGTCCGTTCGAAGGCGCGGAGGGAGGAGGAGCCGGCGGGATGGAACCTGACCTTGGTCGGGCAGCCCTGGTCATGGACGGAGACCGTGCCATGAAAGCCTGAGCCTCGATGGTCACCGTCCCCGCCACGGGAGGAGGTGGTGCAGGCGCCACTGCAACCACCATAGCAGGCGCCTCCGGCCTGGCGGGGGCTGCCAGCCCACCTCTGGCAGCCACCGCCGTACGTCGAACTCATTGGGGACGATGATGAGGAGGAGGACAGTGGCTACGGAAGACGACGGCGGCCATGGCGGCGACGGGCCTTTATCTAGTTTTTAAAATGTTTTTAAGTTTTTGTTTATATTAATGTGGTGAACTTGGGTATTATGGACGTTTTAATGTTTATATTAATTTTTTATATTATTTGCAATGTTTATTTGGGTCTATTGGGTAAAATTTGAAGTCCAAAAAAAACGGACAGTTTGGGATGCGGTGGGCCGGTTGGACGCACTGACGGCCGCACAAATCGCAAGCGGACGGGCGTGTCCATTTTTCTGCCCCAACCGAACGAAATTTGGACAAAATGGATGTCCATTTGGGGTCGTGCGTTTGAGTTGCCCTAAAATCTAAACAAACAGCACGGTACAACCCCCGCTAAACATATAAAAGATATTATAAAGCATTGTCAAATTGTACCCACTTTAGTATGTATTGGGGTTGACCCACTAATTCACGTGCGACGTATGTTCGGCTGCTCTAACCGCCAGTATGATCCAATGAAAAAAGAAAGAAACCTGTCGCGTGCACCCCTCGCCCCACCCAATTTGAAACCCTAACGATTAGTTGCCGCCGTCGTGACTCCGGCGGGCGGCCATTTCTAATCGTCATCGTTAGGCTCATAGGCATCATCGCATGGCACCTTCCACGCCTTCCTTGTAGCACACGGCATCGTAGTCGCCACCCTCCCCGGCGCCAGCACGCCATCGTCGGCATTCCCCCTCTCCCCCCACCCCCACACACGCATTGTCGGCCCTGGTGGAAGGCGCCAAAACATTGTCGTCGACGCTCCTACCCTCTCCCATGTCGCCGACCAAGCCGAGGACAATGTCGACGCCTGGCCTGCATTGAATCGACAAAAGGTTTGCATATTTGCACTTTTTTTGTTGCAATTGTAATTCAATACATATTGAAATGGAGTGAAAATTCAGCCTTGCCTGGATAATTTGACAATGGCTTTATGCACATCTTAATGATTCCAAATAAATTTGTGTGGACCACAATTATGACATGTACTTTACTTTCGCGCATGTTTTTTTTACATCACACATCGCCGTCTCGCAGTTGAACTGATTATGTGTGTGATGACGTTGTGTAGTGTTTAGATTGATGGCACACTTCATTTGAAGGTGCACCGATGGAGCTTCAAACCGGATATGCAAGCGATGATTCTGGTAGCAAGAATGAATCCTCCTCATCAAATGTCAACCTACCTCCCGAGGATAACATATTACTGTAAGTGACGCGAACGTTGACAAAAAAATTATGGCAAACAACAACATTGGCACTTACATGTCTTACTTTAGATCAGTACATATACATGTTGATGATGACCATGAGCACAACAATATAGATGAATCTTATGCTGAAAGCACGAGCTAGATATGTTGAAAAGTATGCAGGACAAGGAATGATATAACAACAACATTAGCACTTACATGTCTTACTTTATTTGTACAAAGTAGACGTGGATGATGAAAATGAGCAGACCGATGTCGATGATGACAATGAGCAGAACAACGTCGATGAATCTTATGTTGAAAGTGTGAGCCAAGTACGATAAAAATGTATAGTGCAAGGAATGATATAACAACTGAGTGACTTACATGGTTCTTTGTCTAATTTTACAGGGGGTTGGTGGTCCTAGCGGGCACGATGACCATGACGATGATGTTGAATTTGAACTGGACATTGGGTATGATGAATATCAACAAGAGTCCCTGGATAGGCATTGGATGGTAACGGCAAAGACGTTCGACTCAGAAGGGGAGGCACATGTGTTCCACAACAAGTACGCGAAGGAATGTGGGTTCAACATTACGAGGGACTTGATGAAATGAGGAAAAGGTGCTACAGGAAGTATCCACTTGAGGAGGTATGTTTGTTCCAGGGCTGGAAAATGGCAGAGCAGGTTTCTAACAATGGAAGGTCAGAACCGTAGGCTTAGAGCGAAGACTCAATGCTATTGTGAGGCTCGTTTAACTATGAAGTTTGATAAAACTCATGCAGTTTTGGTATGTTGGCAGTTCACTGATGATCATTGATAACCAACAAGTATATGGGATCGCAACCGTTTTCGAGGGTAGAGTATTCAACCCAAATTTATAGATTCGACACAAGGGGAGTCAAAGAATATTTGCAAATATTAGCAGTTGAGTTGTCAATTCAACCACACGTAGAGATTAAATATCTACAACACAGTGATCAGTAGCACAGTACTATGATAGTTTTGATAGCAGTGGTAACAGTAACGGTAACATTGATAGCAATGGTTTTGTATCAAGTGTAACAGTGACAGCAACAATAGTAACTTAGGAAGAACAATATGTGGAAAACTCGTAGACATTGGATCGGTGAATTCGCTGGATTATATTCATCATATAACAGTCATAACCTAGGGCGATACAAAATTAGCTCCAGTTCATAAATATAATGTAGGCATGTATTCCGTAAATAGTCATACGTGCTTATGGAAAATAACTTGCATGACATCTTTTGTCCTACCCTCCCGTGGCAGTGGGGTCCATAAGGAAACTAAGGGGTATTAAGGCCTCCTTTTAATTGAGAACCGGAACAAAGCATTAACACATAGTGAATA